GGGTTTAGGGTTTAGGGTTTACAATTCGAAGTAGAAGTTTTTAAGAAAAGGGAATCTTTCATGAAGAATAAGAACAGAATCTTTAGTGTATAAATTTTACAATATTGAATTATATTTTTTAGGGTTTCAAAATTAGGGTTTAGGGTTTAGGGTTTAGGGTTTAGGGTTTAGGGTTTATGAGGGTTAAGGGTTTAGGGTTTAGGGTTTACAATTCGAAGTAGAAGTTTTTAAGAAAAGGGAATCTTTCATGAAGAATAAGAACAGAATCTTTTGGATAAGTTGTTAGTCCATCGGGGTGTACGCGATGTAATACACCTTCAGGGTTTATAATAAATTTGTGAGCCATCTTCGCCACCAGCAGCAGCAGCAGCAGCAGCAGCAGCAGCAGCAGCAAGAAGAATAGCAGCACCAGCTGCAAGACAAGCAGCTGGAGCTGTTGTCCTAATTGTTGGACAATATATGCAGCAGCAGCAGCAGCAGCAAAAAGAATAACAGCAGCAGCAGCAGCAAATAGACAGAGACAGAAAGAAATATATATATATAAGCTATAAGCCAATAATAATAATTCTACTAAGACTTTGGATTATTTTTTTGCTGCTGCTGCTGCTGCTGCTGCTGTTGCTGCTGCTGCTGCTGCTGCTGCGGTTTATGCGGTTTGTTGCGGTTGCTGTTGATGTTGCTGCTGCGAAGGATGACGAGATATAATAATAAACCAGGCGATGTTGCTGCTGCTGCAGCAACAACACACTCCTCTGCTGCTGCTGCTGCTGCTGCTGCTGCTGCTGCGCTGCAGCAGGAGGATGTGTGTATATATTAAGACGAAGGCGAGAGGGTTATACGCAAGCTACAAGAATGACTACTACTACTACCACTGCCGCTGCTGCTGCTGCTGCTGCTGCTGCTATTGCTGCTGCTGCTGCTGCTGCTGCTGCTGCTGGTGTGGTTGTTTGTGGTTTGCTACTACTAGTATATACGCAAAAGGATTTGCTGCTGCAGCGCAGCAGATTTGCTGCTAAAAAAAGAAGAAAAAAGAAAAAAAAAGAAAAAAAGAAATAAAAATAAAAGAAAGAAAGAAAGAAACAAAAGAAAGACGTATGTATAGACCCCCCTGCTGCTGTGTATCTGCTGCTGCTACTTTATATATATTGCTGCTGCTGCTGCTGCTGCTGCTGCTGCTGCTCCTGCTGCTGCTGCTGCTACTATATATATCTACTATATACATACATCAATATAAAGAAGAAAGAGAGAAAAAGAAGAAGAAAAAGAAAATAAAAGAAAAAAGAAAGAAAAAAAGACAACAAATAAAAAATAAAAAAGAAAAGAATTTATTTTTATTATTTATTTAATGATAAAAAATTAAGAGCTGCCTATACACCCCGTTGCTTCTCTCTCTATCTTATATATATCTGCTGCCTGCTGCTGCGGCGCGCTGCGCTGCTGCTGTGATATATATATGTGGCAGCAGCAGCAGCAGCAGCAGCAGCAGCAGCAACCACACAACCCTGCTGCTGCTGCTGCTGTTGCTGCTGCTGCTGCTGATGTTGCTGTGTTGCTACTGCTGCTCGCTGCTGCTTACTACTGCTGCTGCTGTTGCTGCTCCTCCTGCTGCTCCTTTTTTTCTCCTTTATTCCCCTGTCTATCTTTATTTAATTAATTATTTATTCTTTTTTTTTATTATTTAATTAAAAAATATTCTTTTTTCTCCTTTTTACCCCGTAGATCAATACACCTGCCACTGCATCAGCAGCAGCAGCAGCAGCAGCAGCAGCAGTAGCAGCAGCAGCAACACCAGCAACAGCAGCAACACAGTAGCAGCAGGACGACCGACCACCACAGACTACAACGTTTTATATTACGCCTGCTGCTGCTGCTGCTGCTGCTGCAGTTGCTGCTGCTGCTGCAGCAGCAGCAGCAGCAAATAACAACTATATAAATATTTAAGAAAATTTAATCCTTTTTTGCTGTTAACTTCTCTATTTGCTGCTGCAGACACAGCAGACACCGCAGACAGGCCAGCACTGCTGCTGCTGCTGCTGCTGCTGCTGCTGCTGCTGCTGCTGCAGATATATATAGGGAACAATGTTTTATACTGTAAAAAAAAGAAATAAATAAAAAAATAATAAAAATAAATAATTTTAATTTATTTATTTATTTAATTAAATAAATTAATTAATTCTTTCCCTCCTCCTGGTGTACATACACCTCAATAAATAAATATAAAGAAAAACAAAGAAATAAATTATTAATTTAATTAAATTATTTATTTATTTATTTATTTGTTTATTTATTTATAAATAAATAAATAAATAAATAAATGTACACAGATAGACACATATATACATATATATTTAATTTATATATACATATATGCATACAAATATATAAACTATTTATTTTATTTATTTATTTATTTATTTATTTATTTATTTATGTTTATTTGCCTATTAAATATATAAAGGTAGTTATCTATTCAATATTTTATTACTATTAGCAGTTATTT